GATAATAATAATAATAAACAATAGTATCCATTCATCAATTTATTGAAACAAAAGTAAAGTAAGATTGTTTCTTTGCTCAATTAAGCCCTGGAGATGAAGACGCATGGAGGAGTGGGGGTACAGTTTACTCCAGTACATGGAACTGAGTTATTAGCTTCAAGACCCAGACATTTTTCCTCCGGGGAAAGAAGAAAACCCGGTACGCACTGGATAGGAGGCTGAATGGGTTCCAGGGGGCACTATGCTGCAAGTCGGAAGGTCGCGGGTTCAAATACCGATGAGGTCATTGGATTTTTTTTCAATTGACCTAATCCTTCCGGCCGCACTATGGCCCTGGGGTTCACTCAGCCTCTAACAGAAATGAGTACCAGGAATTAAATAAATAATTTTCCTGGGGAGTAAAGCGCGGCCGGCACGTAAGGCTGACAAACTTACCGCCATCTTTGAGCCGATTGTCTAGATAATGTGGGACCCTCGAAGTCTCACAACCCTATGTGACTTCATGGCCTGTTTCAGGGATAGCTTTGCTTTACTTTTTTATATGGACGCTGTGGAGAAGAGAATATTCCAGTGCTCCTACTGGAAACGGGACGATTATTCCTCTACTGTCCAGATAGGAGCCAATTCGCTATACTGACTGAGCTATAACATTATCATATTCATATGAAAAATGTTCAATCGTGTTTCACCCATTCGTTCAAATGTCTGGCCTTAACTTTCTGGTAGTCGTTCTGTCCTTCGCACAGTCAGAGAGAAAAATGAAACGTCTGTACAGACAGACTTTCTCTCCAACCTCAGTACCTTTGTACCGCACTATTCGTAGTTTATCACTGGTTAATACCGGTGGACAGTATGAAGTCATATGGAATCACGAGCATCCGGAGAAGCTAAGTCATTCGTTTCAAAAATAAATCCCCGCTTTTGAGGGAATTCAAATGCTGATTATTTTGTTTACCAAAAACCCTCATTGAATACTACACTGAGCCAGCTGAATCCACTCAACCACAGCAAAAAGCATACCAGACCACACGGCATCACATTTCAGAAGACAGAAATCTTCATTTTAATTCTGTCTTCACTTCTACGCCTACACCTTCCAAATGGCATCTTACCTTCAGGCTCTCGGGTTGCATCGTTTGAGAACCGAGTGCTGAGGAGACTATTTGGACCTAAGAGAGACGAAGTGACGGGAAGTTGGAGAAAACTACATGATGAAGAGCTTCATAATTTGTACTCTTCGCCAAGTATAATTACATCAAGCTAACAAGGATGAGATGGGCACGGCATGTAGCACGAATTGGGAGACTAGGAATGCATATAGGATATTGGTGGGAAAGCCAGCGAAAGAGACCACTAGGAAGACAAAGACGTAGTAAGTAGGTGAACAATATTAAGATGGATCTTAGAGAGACAGGAATGGGGTGGTATGGACTGGATCGATCTGGCTCAGGATAGGGACCAGTGGAGGACGCTTGCGAACACGGTAATAAACCTTTGGTTTCCATAAAATGCTGGGAAGTTCTTGAGTAGCTGCAATATTTTCGGCTTCTCAAGATGGGCTCACCTCCATGAGTGAGTGACTGAGTGAGTGAGCATTTCTCATCCTGCTCCATGCGTTCTATTTGACCTGCCTACCTCATCCCTGATCCTATCATCCTCATAAAATGGACGTGGGCCTCTAAGGGCTAGCGTGCTAGCTTAGTATTCAAAGCATCCCGAGTTCGATCTCAACGCAAACAAATTTCAGAAATAAAGAAATAACTACCTACGATAAGCGAACAATCCGACTCAAGGCCCCGTGCAACGAGTGCTACCGACTGTCTTAGATTAAGAAATTGAAGGGAAACGAGGCGTTTCACGGATGCCCTATGCTCCATGTGGGAGCAACAGGAATAGAAGAAGAAGTAAAGAAGAAGGTAGAGGAATACAGACACACAGGCCTGAGTTAGGCATTCAAAAGTTGACCGGAGGGGGGGACATTTACAGACACACAGACAGAATTGATGATCTGATAATCCGACCTTTATTTTTTCAAAATATGGAAAGTATGCTAACAATCTGTCGGTATAATGAAGTGGAAACAACAAGGTCAACTTTCGAAGCAGTAAATCGAACGTATCTCAGACAAAGAAGAATGTCCAGCCTGATGTTGGTATCATGCATACTTCTAACTGGCTCACACTTCTCGTCTCTTTCAAACTGTCCGATACGTTTAGGAAGTTTTCTGATTGAAGCACTGACATCCAAATGGACGACGTCGGTTTTCCTTTCTCCTAATTGAAGCTGTCAGAAAGTGAAGCCACATCAATAAGCAGTCACCAGTGATGGGATAGAACACCATTCAGCAATGTGACCTGCGTGAGAGGAACACGTGACCCACTCAGTAGAGGGTTCAGAGGCTAACTCGCTTAACAGCAGTAAGTCAATAGGGGAGCTGCTTTTCTCTTCGCAACCTTCCGACCTTCTTAAGAACATGATGTACGGAAATATACTCGTACTTTCTCCCTTGCCGCTTTGTAGTACAACAGACGTGTCACATTCGGGTTCCTGCACGCTATTTGCTTTTCGGTAACAGAGAAACCGAGCGGGGTGGCATGGAGGTAAATCTCTGGGCTCATGATCGGGAGATGCTCGCTTCAATCTCAGCCCAGACACCGCTATCCTGACTGGATTTTCGTGATTTTCCTCATCCCGCTCAGACAAATTCTATACTATAGGTACCTATATTAGAACACGACTGCTTCCTTCCAATGTATCGTTCATCTATCATCCTACCAGGGAACAAGTCCTCCGGGAGGGACTTTAAGCCGTGGGTCCCGTGTCGTAGATTTACGGCACGTAAAAGAACCTCATGTCTCTAGGAGACCTCTGAGCTAAATTTGGCCAAAAGTTTCCCGCCCAAAGTAGTTTCCAATGCCTCCGGTAGATGGGGAAGTATTAGATAACACTGCCAGTAGAGGATCGGAACCTCGCTGGCAGAAAGGGGCTGATAGCGAGCACCAGTACCGGTAGGGGATGGAGACTGTAGAAATTAAAAGGGGGACGTCCAATAGATTATCAGTCGCGGTGCATGGGGAAACCCACCCCCTCAATACTGAATAACTGCATATCATCCTACCATTAGACGCTATATAGTACAGGTACTGACAGAATCGTAAGATAAAGGTAAAGGTAAAATTGTCTCTGTGCGTAAGTAATTAAGCACTACGCCATGAAGACGTATGGAGGTAAGTGGTCGGCTTCACGCCCCGGCCGCTTTTACTCCCAGGGGAATAGCCCCCGGTACCCATTGGATAGGAGACTGGGTGAACCCCACAGCCGGTCTGGACGACGTGGAGAAGAGAATTCTGGACCCTACCGAGTCTCGAACTACGACCCCTCGAATGTCGCTATACCGACTACGTTATCCCAGCTCCAAAGAAAAATCATTATCGTAATAAATTTCTCTTTATTTTGGGGGGTTATTTTATAATATTAAAATTTTAAAATAACCCCAAAAAACAAAGAGAAAGAAATTATGAAGAGGCAATACAGCGCTGAATGAAACTGAGATTGTTACGAATGGTTAAGATTTGTAAGCAGGTGGTCTTTGCATTTTGAAGGCACGTGATAGAGGCAAGTTTCCGCTTTACCAGAAGAAATAGGACAGCAAAGGATGAACTCCACAGTCTTCATGGACGTGGTGGGGAAGAAAAACATTCCCCTTGCTCTTTTAATTCCTTTTGTGGCTGATCTGCTGGGGAGATATAAACGGTGTAAACTATTTTTCGGAGGATGTGAGTTGATGTGACTGACTGATCCTATGGGGCTAAATTCTTCTTGAGAAATCGCCGGTTCCTCAGTTACTCAGCAATTTCCCAATATTTTACGGAATCCTTATTACACGTTCGCAAGAACCCAGCACTGGTCGTTTTTCTGAGCCAGATCAATCCAATCTGTACCACCCCATCCTATTTCTGAACGATCCGTCTAAATATTACAATATCTTCTCACCTATGTCTAGGCCTTCCTAGTGTTCCTTCTGGTTTTCCTGCTAAAAGTCTGTATGCATTCCACTTCTCCGTCATGAGTGCTAAATTCCCTGCCAATCTTATCTTGCTTGATTTGATCATTATAATTATATTTGGTGATGAGTACAAGTTATGAAGCTCCTCATTATGCAGTTTTATGCTACATCCTATTATTTCATTCCTCTTCGGTCCAAATTTTCTCCTCAGCGCCCTGTTATCAAATAACTTAAAACATCAGTGTCTTGCTACCTGAATGTTAGAGACCAAATTTCGCACACATTTATTTTGATCTATTTGTGTTTTATTTAACGACGCTGCCTGAATCTCAGACGATACAGCTTCGATTTACTGGATGACAGCGAAACATAAACTGGAGTGAATACGGAAGAGAGCTTTCATGGCGGAATTTGCCTGAAATGACTGGGGAATAAAAAAATCTCTTCCAGGATATTCAGTATTCCGGGCGAGAATCGAAGGAAATATCTCTAGTTAGAAGACTAGCTCTTGGCCCAACTGCTTGATGAAAGATGTCGATGGTTGACCGGAATTTTGAATCTAATAAGAAACAGGGTCCTCCCACTTGAGACTGAGACTTAGTCTGTTTAACGACGAATATCAACTGCACTTGTTACGTAGTATAGAATGGTAGAAATATTTGCAGACGACAAATTGGAAACTATATCAGTGGGCTATCGCAGCATTTGCCTGGAGCGACTAAGGAAAATCGCTAAAATCGGTCAGGAAGTCGAGTTTCGAAAACGATATGTTCCAAATCCTACGCACGAGTGCTAACCACTCTACTAGACCTGAAAGTACTGCATCCATATAAGGATTCCAAGGTTACTCGCCGACTCACTGGTTCCATTAACCAAACGGAAGGAAATATCTTCGTGGTCTTAGAATCTTAGTAAACTCTTAAGAGCTGACTGTTTTGCCACTGCAAGTCTATAAATATATTTCGCATATTGATCTCTTGTTCCCCCACCTCAGGTGTTGCTTTGCTCCTACGAACGGGAAGTAAGTTCAAAGTGCATTCATCACTTTGCTGATGGTCAAGATGGTTTCCATTGCCGCTGCTATGCTCATCGTCGTGTTCGTGGGAACTGTTCAAGGTAAGCGGGGGGGAACACAAACACAGAAAAAAATCTTATTTTAATATACATACCACAAAATAATCATATAAATCAATTCTTTAATAATTTAATTTAATAGAGAAGATGAAAAGGCGGCGCCTAAGAAGTAAAATTAAGGTCACATCGTCATACTTCTCTGCTGGAAGTTTCATCCGGTCACTTCAACACGTACTCCGTGTGTAGTGCGTAACATGCGCTATGAAACTAGTAACTTAGGTCCTTCCACGTTCTTTCCGGCATTTCTTGTCTTATACTGTCCGTGGTAAATTAAATATTACCTTATATCATGAAGGCGTTCAAGCTCGGTTTCTGGCGTAACCTCACAGAGAATATAAGCTTAATAGGGTGGGATCCATAGATAAAGGAAGCATCCGACTGGACCTTATATTCTCTGTGTTCATGATTCTTTTGTGGATATTATATTCTGTACTCTATATCTACATATGATTCAAAATTCAGAGGAACGTAATTCTATTCCATTCAAATTCTATTTTATGTATGAGTCTGATTCTACTGAATAAAATGAGTGTAGTTATATAGGAAAATTCTATACTATTTGTAATTTATTTGTTTGTGTTGTCTTTCACGGCTGAAACTTGGAGTGTACGGATTCAAATATGGCTCAAGGCTTTGGTTTTCTTCGCAGGTTGCAACCGTCTGGGAGTTGTGCTGGCTCACAGGGAGCAGAATGAGACGTCCAATAGTAAGTGATATAGCATTTAACGAGACTATACTGATTGCCGCTGTTATTTATTTTTTATTTATTCATTTAACGGCACTGCAAAAATCTCAAACTAGGCCTACGTAGTGTGGAATTGTCGACGATCATTGAATAATGATTTTGATGGAAGCGGTTGTGGCTTAATTTCGCTATTATTTCGACATTCGCTTGAAGGGACTGAGGAAAACAATGAGAAACCTCAGTCAGGATAGCCAATCTCCCATCCTGAATTCTAACCAGTCACTTCCCAAACAAAAGCGAGAAATGTTACCGATTGAGTTAACTTTTTCGGAGGCTGACGATGTTACGAAACGTCGACTCGGTGATAAAGAGACGAACCTTACTTCTGCTGGTTCGTAAAAAATAAACCTTTTTTAGAAAGTGATCAATTATTAAATTAAGGAATATGTATAATTATTACGAGATTGAAACGTCAGTAAATTTCGACCAGACTATACGACGTCATATCTCAGAAGATAATACCTTCTATAATCACCGCTGTGAGAACCTAAAATCTAACTTCCAAATTTTGTTGCCTTCTTCTCTTAAATAATGAACAATGAAGGAAGATAAAAGAAACAGACTAAAAGTTTATTAAAGAAAAACTTCAGAGAACTTTGTCGCTTGTATGCAGATACTTTTTATATCAGCTGTAACGGAAGGAAGACCAACTTACAAGTAGGCAAGCAAAATGGAAAGTTGGTCTTTTTATTGTTTTCATTATTAAAACCACCCACTGATTTATTATACTTCCATCATAACGAACACTGTCCGTTGACTTGTACATACAGAAAATGGATCAGTTTCTGTCATCATGTGTAAAGACTGGACGGGTCCTACTCAATTTGGCACGTCAGATGGGCCACGGTCTGATTAAGGGCTCAAATAAGTAGGACCCTTGCCCTCGCCATTACACCTGATTACGGCAATGAATTCAATTTCCTGAAAGTTCTTCATCAGATACGCTCGATGCAATGATAATGTCGAATGTAATATTTTCGCGTGTATTAATGACTAATAATGCGGGTGCTGGATTGGATGAACGGGTTTGTCTACTCCTTATACAAACCCCCAGTAATTACACGTAATTATAGCGCTATCGCAATTTCTACACTTCATAATTCTCTGTCTCTCTCACACACACACACATACACACACACCAGTCTCCTGGCAACGCAATTAACACAGGAACTATAACGGTTTCACTGAATTGCATACTCTAAATATTACACATAGTCTTCTCTTCACAGCCGCACTCCTGCAACTATCTCTTAACTACAGTGCACTGCACTATACTGCACTGTGCACTAATCTAAGCTAAACAGGTCTTCGGTATATATGTTTCGCACAGAAACACAAGTCACGCAATTCCTAGCCAGCGAGTTCATTAGCGCGCTGACTGTTGCCTAGCAACGAGATACAACATTCGTTGACTGAGCCAGATCTTTCACTGTTGCACGATGGAACGTATTTACCGAGCAGCTGCCTAGGAACGCTTTGAGCAAATCCGTTACAATATCCACATAACACAACACATAACATAACAAGACAACCAAACACTAGAGATAACTTATGTACACGAGCAGATCAGCAATTCCAAAATCTCGTTATCTTTGAAATATTGGTAAACTTATTGTACGTAATGCCCCACAATAATATTACCTAATTTCTTGTGTTCTTCGTCTTGATACACGAATAGCAGAACATGACAATATCATGCGACAAGGTTAGTATAGAAATGTCCTGTTTATCCTATTGTAGTGCTGGAAATGTCCGCCGCGATCACCGCACATCTCGACCTACAAAAGCCGAAAAAAGGAAGCGCGAAATGGTAACATAATTCTGGTACGTCTGTCGCTTTATCGGGCGTTTTTCTCTATTTGAGTGGCGTGGGTCTGAGCATACTCAGTTTCTTTCTTTTTTATTCACTGATCATGTTCTTTTGTTATTATAGGAGATAAAAGGTAAAAGGGTAAAGCTATCCCTATAATTGGCAGTGGAGGCCCATAGGGCTGTGAGACGTCGAGACTCCCACAGTTTCTAGACAATCGGCTCACAGATGGCGGTAAGGTTGTCAGACTTACGCGCCGGCCGCCATTTACCTCCAGAAAGATTCCTGGTACTCATTTCTGTTAGATGCTGAGTCGACAGCAGGACCATAGTGCGGCTGGAAGGAATAGGTAAATAAAAAAAAAATCCACCTCATCGGGACTCGAACCCGCGATCTTTCGGTTTGTAGCATAGTGCCTCTATAGAAGACGCTTTCATTTATTGTTTTCCATGATTTTATTTTAGATACTTTATCAAGGAGATTTTACGACGGTTCGGCTCTAGAAACAGAAAACCTAATATTTGCTCTCACGCAATCAGTAAATTAGTATAAGAATTAAAATAATCAATTGCTGTAAATGAACCGTGTATCATATTTTAAACACAATACTCAAAACTAATTGGAGTGAGGATATACTTCCAAAATATATAAATATGTATATTTTATGTCGCCTAATAATAGTCACGTTAAATTATAATTAAATTACGTTACAATAGAATATATTTTATTTAGGGAATTTTGATGGAAATCTAGTTGCTTGTCATTTCATATTTGAAACAGCTTCAACTTTCATGTTCCAGATGGTGCGAATTACAACACGTTCATGCCTCTGACAACCTCGCTGATGTACTGGACAATTCACACTCTGCTGGGGTCAACAGCGGTTTCTTTTAACTGATGTTCAGGAAGTCATCAGCATGTGACAAGTCGCCTGTCTCTTAGTGTGCGGCACCGTCCTCTTCTTCCGCCTGTACTTTACCAATGAATAAAACACAACCGATCATTCTCCGTAGTTTAAAATTAATTTCATGAATGAATATAATAAAAGTGTAATGGAGAAAATTGCGTAAGAAGGAACTTCGAAGTGTGTAGTCTCCTCTAGTCTTGATATGATGATTAAGTTCAGAAAAACGAAATAAGCGAAATATTTAGCTCGGATGAGGAAAGAAAAAAATAATATAAAAATTTAGTTAATAAACACCATAAACATTAAAATTGATCTTAGATTAAGCTGTGAAAATGTGAAATAGATTTAAGTGACTTCAATGGAAAGCTTTCGTGATAGCGGTAAAGAACCATTAATTTCACAAGAATATTTCATAATCATCTCAATATGAGAGACTGTATAATTGAGTCTATTGTTTAGTTAAACATGAGGCAGATAGCATTAAATATGTTTTCTTGTTAGATCTCTTATGTTTTATCCGAATACTTTGTATGTATTATGTACTGATGTAACAAAATAACACATGAAGTATTTTGTTTTCTACTACTTATTTTCTCTGACAATAATACAGTTATCTCCTTTTTCAGTTAATGATATACGCAATGAAGCCTGTCCTGGTTTCTCCCCTCATTCCATTTTTTCAAGTCCTTCCTCGGTCTAGACGTCCCTGATAGTTCATAGTGTAGACTCTGCTCCAGAATTCCTTCTGCAGTAACCCCATTTAAATGTTTTGTCATAATTTTTCTCCGTTCGTCCATACAGTGCTACAGAAGGACACGAAGTCTGCAGGACTACCAAATCACAAATAACTATGATAAGCGACAATTTGGACGAACGGTATTACATTTTTTATTGCTAGTGGGGTGTGACTAAGTCCCTTGTACTGCGGCCACTTCTGGCCTATTGTACCGTCCCCAGATGATAGGCGATGGGTAATTGTGGAGTAATTGGTGGAATGAAGATTGGCAGGGGAAACCGAAGTACTCGGAGAAAACCTGCCCCAGCGCCACTTTTCCCACCACAAATCCCACTTGACCAGAACCGGGATCGAACCCGGGCCGACGCGGAGGGAAGCCAGTGACTAACCGCTTGAGCTACGGTGCGGCCATGGACGATCGGTATATCTTGCATAAGCAAAAAGCAGTCGTGCTGACGAGTAAACTTCAGGGCCATGTTATGCCCTTTCGTTATGAATAATCGCTGTATATTTCCATTCACTGCAACGACAACGTTCATCTTCTACGCCCGTGAAAGGTAGACTGAGGATGTACCACCGCCCCGTGGAAGCGGTCCGCTGAGTTATTCGAAGTATGAAACCTTAATTCCACTTTGCGTCACTTTTACTCAGCTTACTTGTTGAAAGTTACATTTAGCATGGGAACAGGCCGACTTGTGTGACTGTGAGGATACAGCTTCCTTAAGATTTCATCACCTGGATCATTGCCTTATGGCGCCAGGTGACTATCAAGACGCCCCCGTAAGTAGAACACTATACTTCGCCTGAAGTGTAAGACTGTTGAAGGGTTGAAATAGAGATGAATGCACAATTTATCACTGAAAGTTGCGGTGCAATGGCCGATCTAGGCCTACTCGTTATTCGTTGATTCATTCATGGGAAAGGACTCAGGACGTTTAAAAGCGTGGATAAAAAAAAAGCTTTAAAATTTACAGATTTCAGATACTCTGTATCATTTATAGTCTCTATATGCCATGCGAGTGCAAGCGGTGGCATAGTTCCTGAAACACTATGTTATAAGCTGGAAGGTCGCGGGTTCGATTCCCGATTAGGTCATTGTTTTGTTTACAATTGACCTAATCCTTCCAGTCATACTATGGGCCCTGGGGTCGACTCAGCATATAACAGAAATGAGCACCAGGAATATTCCTGGAGGGGGGGGGTAAAGGGTGGACGGCGCGTAAGGCTGATAACCTCACCTTTATCTGTGAGCCGATTGCCTGCAAAATGTGGGAGGCTCGACGACTCACAATCCTATGGGCCTTCACGGCATGTTATAAGGATAGCTTTACCTTTACTTTTATTTTTACCTTTATTTTTACCTTCATACTCTATGTACTTAGTTCACAGTACTTACTGTTCGAATAATTAAAATATTTTCTCATCAATAATTTAACAAGTCTGCGTGATACATACAAATACAAAGTTGGTCATTCTTTTAATATCCACAATTCTCCATTCCAGATGTCTTCCTAAGCACTGTGTTCTAGAACGTGTATGGCTACGAAAGACTCATATTCTCACCTCGGAATGGAAGACCATTACACACAATCACGATTACATCACAGGAAAGTTTTACTTCCCATACTTTTCAGTGTCAACTAAATTTGTCCCTGTACGTAAGCTCTACAAAGCCTTAACGTCGAACTGGGTGAAGATGGTGGTCGGATTCTGCTGTGGACCTTCTAATTCCGGGGAAAGAGCCTGTGGTACCGATAGGACAGGGATCTCAGTGAACACCAGAACAGATCTGAACATTTTGGTGAAGAGAAAAATAGTTGTTTCTTTTTTCCGCCTGAGAACTGTGCCCTGGTCGTTCAGTAACTACTTTGCTGAGTTACCTCGGTTCCAAAACAACTTAAGTTAATTTCACGTAACATAAAGTCTAGGCCCACACGTAGTCTTCAGCTGCATGACCCTAACATAAGAAAACTTCTCAAAAGACACAACTATCCAGTGCCGTGTGACGTGCTGCCTGAAAGCCGGACTATAGGACGTCCATCACTGGTCAACGGCTAAAAATTCCCAGGCAGTGATGCTTAGGAAATCGTTGCCCCGGAAATGAAAGTCTAACAGTGGGCTTTCCACCGTTACAAACGAATTGTTTGAGACAGACACGTATTCCCGCTTTCGTTGCGTAGCAGCAGGCGAAATTATCCCTTCAACAAGGTATTCCTTATTCAGTCCGAGTGCACGTTATAACAGTCCAACGTCGGCCAGAGACCAGTGGAGTTCGTTTTCGACTAGAGCAGAAGCGAGTTCGTATCGGACAAGGGATCAAAGATAGTTGAGTTCCGAACAAAGCAGAAGACACTTCACCAAGATCAGCGGCGCAAGTAATTGTAATAGTGAAGAGGAAAGGTATGACTCCGTCATAACTTGAGAATAATTGTGCTTGTGAGTGCAAAAAGCGATAGTCCAATAAACGTCTTCGGCAAATCCGAAACCCACACAATTTCTTGTAGCATTGCTTAGGAAACACACGACAGCAGTATCAGAAGTTAATTCACCAACTCCGTCGAAGAGGGTCCTTCTTGAGGAAGTAGTATTTGTTGCTCAGGTAGTCAGTGAATTTCCCAGCATTTTATGGAAGCCAAATGTTCATTACCACGTCCACAAGAGCCCACCACTAGTCCTTAACCTAAGCTAGATGAATCCATGTAAGATTGAGGCTTTCACGGCGGTGACTATGAAGAATGCCGTTTTCTGGGATGTGACGCCGTGTAGATATTATGTAAACCGACGTCTCGGAGGAACTTATCGCCAGCATATTCAGTCTACAGCCACCTGCTCACGCTGGTTCCTAGTTCGCGAATTTTTATACCCTGAAGATGGAGGCCATACGTTCCTCTGAAACGTCGATTTACACAATATCTACACGGCTCCACATGCTAGAAGACGGCATTCATAGATGAATTCAGTTAACATCCTTTCATCCTGTTTCTTTAAGTCCAATTTAATATTATGCTGCCATCTATGCCTATGTCTTCCAGGTGGTCTCTTCCCTTCGGATTTTCCTACTATAACTTCGCATTTCAAAATGTTTGTGGACTAACAACATACCGATTTTTTTTTTTTTTTAATTTTGTATCAGCTACTTTAGATGCGACATGCTTGCTCCTTTTTCAAGATGACGATGGAGGACGTACATAATCTCTCAAGGCGCACGTTTTAATGTCTGTGGACAATCATAAACACCAAAGCCGAATAGAAGAGAACACAGGGCCCTGTTCGTGCTATTGATATGGACCCTTATTGATTTTAAGGTATAAAGAGAAAGAAAGAGAGAAAAATTAAAGCAAGAAAGAGACAGAGGGAGTTCAGTTCATGAACTCCCCCTCCCTCCACATTGCATGCTAATCTTGCGCCGCCGCGCATATGCGGATCCATCAATTACAGGCGTAAGCCAAACGTAAGGTGCACCATCTGTATAATCACGCCATATTTCATAGCAGCAAACTCTAATTCTAGGTTCTTGTTGAGTTCTCAAGTAGGATTTATGCTTGCCGCCTACTTCTTATTGGTTTCTTACTTGGCTCGACTCTTATACCCTGAAGATGGAGGGGATATGTTCCTCCGAAACGTCGAGATTTCTCCGAAATACATGGCGTTACAACGGAGTAGATCGTTTAAATACATTACAGGTGCAGGGAATGTAGCACGCATGGGATAGATCAGAATGCACAAATATTTTAGTCAGAAAAGCTGAAGGAAAAAAGCATTCTCGAATATCTTGGTCTGGATGGGATGATATTAAAATTGATCCGAAAGAAATAATATGGGAGATTATGGACTGAATTTATGTGGATCAGGATAGGATCCGGTGGCGGGCTCTTTTGAATGCGGTAATGAACCTTCGGTAAAAAAAAAAAGGCAGTAAGTTTCTTGAGCAGCTGGGCGATTATTACATTCTCATTAACAACTGTACTCAGTTGAAGTTATTTATACTGAGGCCACAAAAACGAGTCCCTTAAATCGGCATTCCTCCACATCTTCCTCGAGCGGTTACGTTACCTTCTCCTCCTCTCCCTCTCTTCCTTACATATTGCCCTTGTCGTCTAGCCAATCTGTTCACAGGAATATTGCTATTAATAGTCACGTGATAACCTTCACTAGCAAGAAGCACTGACGCCTGAATAACTTATGTCAGAGAGAGCTGAAGGGGAGCACAATAATAGGCAGAAACTGGGAAGCCCATCATCCCCGCCATCAATGGAACTTCTTTCCATGGTCTTAGTATAGTCAGATAATCTTTGCAGAAGCCTGAAACAAGCGGCTTCTTTATCCCTCCCACAAAACTGCAAGCACTCGCACGTCACATCACTTCCGTTTAATTATGTACTGCCGTGTTGTTAAGAGTCAAGCACGAAAGGGAACAGGCTACAATAATCGATCATAAAATATAGAAACCGGATACGTCTCTCAGGATACTGATGTTCTAAGCACGTCTATTGCAGAAACGGTCTTTTTCAGTTCATTTGTTGATCGGGATCGTGTGTACGAGTCCTGGCAGACAAATGTAGGAATTAAAAATTCGATAATTCATGCTACAGATGAAGCTCGAATAAAGCTTATTAAATGTCTTTAAAATGACGTCTTTTCACATAAAATTGGTAGGCCCTGCATGATAAAATATAAATTTTGTGACCTTAAATTGTAATATTTATTTGAACACTCTAATATTACATGGCATATACTTTACGAAAGTATAAAGAAAAATTAAAAGAATACAGTCTTCCGGT